GGCTCCTTTTTTTTTTTTTTTTAACGACAGGGTCTCACTATGTAGCCCTGGCTGGTCTAGAACTTGCTATGTAGACCAGGATGGCCTCAGACTCGAAAAGATGTGCCTGCTCCTGCCTCCCAATTGCCAGCATTAATGGCCTGAGCCACTGCCAGCTCTCATGATTCCTTTAACACCTCTGTCGCTTGACATCTTCTATTAGTCCCACTTCTTGTGTTAGTTTAGGTTTTTCTTAAAGCACCTTAAAAAGCTTTGAGAAACCTCAATAGTGTTCCAGCCTCCCTCTTCTTTCTCCTCTCTCTGTCTCTTCTCTAGTTATGCAGCTGAGTTAACTCAAATTGGGCTGTTTGTTCCAGATGGGTCTTCCTTTAGCCCCAGGCACAGTACTTACCTCCTTGATGCCCCTATTGCCTTATGTAGAAGATGGGTATAATATTGTTATTTTCCTCATGGGGTTGTTATGGAATAGATGAGAGATAACCTTTGAGTGGAAAACTGAATGTCAGTTTAGGAAATATGAGCTTGGTGAGGTAGTGTGCACCTTTAATCTCAGCACTCAGGAGGTTGAGACAGCATGATTGTAAATTCAAGGCCAGCCTGGGCTACAAAATGAGACTGTCTGAAAAGAAAGAAAAATTAAGAATATGGAATCTTTTAAAAAGTTGTATACTTAGTGAAATTTCCTGTTAATTCTTATTAGAGAGGAAATATTTCTAAGATTCAGGAACCTTCCTTGTTCTTTCTGTTTGTTTTATACATGCTGAGAAGAGTGAGTTCATGGGGATTCTGGAGGAGCCTGGCACACAGTAGGGACTCAATAAATGTTTTCTGGGCCATCCTGACTTAGTTTTTCAGAAGAGGTATTGAAAGCTGATTTTATCCACATGGCTCATAGATTTGGTGAAAGGACAACTGATTAGCAACAAAGCGTGAATGTGTTCTGGTTTCTAGGGATGCAGTTTTGGTAAGCTCTACCAACTATTTACTATTTACCCACCAGAAGATCTCAGAAATTTTCCTTCCATTCCTCTCGTCTTCTTCTACCTTCTCCCTCTCCTGGATCTCACAGTGGAAGGAATGAACCAACTCCAGAAAGTTGTCCTCTGACCTACGTACACACACACATTTTCTCTTTCTCTCTCCCCTCCTCCCTCCCTCCCTCCTTCCCTACATTCCTTCTTTCCTTGTCCCTTTCTGTTCCTCTGCCCTCCACCCCCACCACTTCCCTCCCTCCCTTCCCTCTTTGGAGACATATTAGAGACACAGGGCTATTAAACTATTTTGATTTCAGGAGAGTAAAAAAAAGACTGAACTCTGGGATGTTGCTGACATTTTCTCTCTTAATATAAATACTGGCTACATGCGATATTCAAATGTGAATATTCATGCTTTACTTAAAATTATAGTCCAATTTAAATATATTAAAATATATAAAATTTAAAGTATATATGTATTTTAAAATGTAATGTTTAAAGTATAGGAAAATATGGCCAGGCATGGTAGCACATGCCTTTAATCCCAGTGCTAGGGAGGCAGAGGCAGGCAGATCTCTGTGAAATTGAGGTCAGCCTGGTCTACATCTAGCCTGGTCTACATAGTGAGTTCTAGGCCAGTCGAGGCTGCACAGTGAGACCCTGTCTCAAAAAACAAAACTGCAGAAAATATTTAAAATTTATTTTTATTTTATTCTCTTTTTATTTTATTTTATTTTTTTTTTTGAGACAGAGTATCCTTGTAGCCCCAACTGGCCTGGAACTCATGATGTAGACCAGGCTGGCCTCAATCTCACAGAGATCCACCTGCCTCCCAGTATTAAAGGCATGGAATACCATGGTGCCTGGATTAGAAAAATTTTTAAAGAATATAGTTCAGAGTATTTTTACCTATACTTGAAATGCAGACACTGCCTAAAGATAGAACCATTTCCATAACAACTGAGAGTTCTCTGTGCTCTTTTCCTGTGCATAAGTGCCTTCCTGATTTCTAGGACCACAGACTTAATTTTACCTGTTCACATCAATGAAATCATACATTTCATACTTCTTTGTTTTTGATGAGTTTTATTCAATGTAATATTTTTGAGACTCATCCACTTTGCAATATGTTGCCCATTTTATTCCTCTTCATTTTTGACTAACATTCTATCTTAGGAGCATACTATGGTTCATTCCGTTTGGATGGACATTTTGATTCTTTCCAGATTTTGACTATTCTCAACAAAGCTTCTACAAATATTTATGCTTTAGTCTTTTTGTGCCTGTACATTTTCATTTTTCTTGGGTAGATATTAGGAAGGAAATTCTGGGTTATGAGAGAGTTTGTATTTGTTTTTATCAGGAATTACCAAACAGTTTAGTGGAGCAGTTCTTCCATTTCCCACTAAGGGTGTTGAGTTCTATTTCCTCCATATCGTTGCCAGAACTTGTTATCTCCAGTCTTTTAGAACACTGCATATATGTATGCTTCTTCCATGCTCTATGCATATGTGCATTTCAACAAAAAGTTAAAAAACAGCTGGGTGTGGCAGTACACCCCTTTGGTCCCAGCACTCAGGAGGCAGAGGCAGGCGGATCTCTGTGAGTCTGGTCTACTTGGCGAGTTTCAGGTTAACTGGGCCTACAGAGCAAACCTGTCTCAAACAAACAAACAAACAAACAAAAACAGAAAACAAACGAACACAAGAAAATCAAAACAAGTTCAAAACAAAAACAAAAATAACATTGGTTAAATTTAATTCTAAGACATTAGAAATTTAAATAAATCCTCTGGATTTTTAAATAACTTTCAGAAATCAAAAACTGAATACATTCTCTTCATAAATTGATATACATTTACTTATATGGATATTAAGGCTAGGCCTTGGAGTTTTGGGGGAAGTATTAGTTCTGGAACTAGAAAAGGCTGGCAAATCTTCAAAGGTTTTTTTGAGAGATTGTTTCATCTCTTTCTATCTTGGTATTGATAGGAGGACTTCGGGTTCGGAATAGTTTGACTGGAGCTGACTGCTTTTCTTCCTTCTCATTTCAGAACACAAATGTCCAGTGGATGAGAGAGAGCAGCTGGAGGAGACCTTGCCCCTAATTCTGGGCCTCATCTTAGGCCTTGTCATTGTAATAACACTCGTGATTTACCACATCCACCATAAAATGACTGCCAATCAGGTGCAGATCCCCAGAGACCGATCTCAGTACAAGCACATGGGCTAGGGGCCATTAGAAAGGCAGCCTCCACGTCTTGCCCCCAAACTGGACCCAGTAGAACGACAATGGCACTTTCCACCCGTACACAGGATACACCAACATAGCTACACTCCAACTGGCTTGGGCACCTGAGGCTTGCCCGGCCAGCATCCATGCTTAAAGCCAGGGATGGCGGACAGGTCTTGGGATTCGTGGGGTGAATGGCAGCTGTTCTCTACATGCTGGGGAGTAAGGGCGGGGAAGCTACACAGCCAGCCTTCATGCTCATGATGACTCGACAATGACTCTAACTCTATAAATTACAGCACCTGGAGAGGAGGATCTCACTTTTATGCTTTGGGACCAGAAACACTTCCTTTGGGTGGAGACCTCTTTAGGTCCAGAGGACTAGGGGTGCTTTGCTCCCTTGGCCTCAGCTGGCTTACCTACACAGTTTTCAATGCACACAAAATACAACCTCATGCTCCCTGTGGCAAGACCCCTGAAAGTGATCCATGCTTCTGGCTGGCACTCTGCATGTCTAGTGATCGTTTTGGGAATGTTTCACTGCTACCTGCACCCAGTGATTTTTCAGCACAAGAACCCGTTTAATGTCACTATGCACAGTTATTTGGAATTCATAATGTGTCAGGTCCAAGTGAAGGGACCTGAAGAATCAATTCATGTGAGTTTGTTTTTGAAAATGAATTAAAACGCACTACTCTCTGGCCTTTGTCTGTTTTCTTGAAACAAGAAAACAAAACTACAGTGGTTGCTTTAGCGTCCAAAGGAAAAAGAGGGACAGATCAAAGTGAATTTTCTTTTCTTTTTCTGCAAGAGGCAAAATGAAGACAGGGTAAGCATGAGATGAAGGACATGTTCATTTTCCATCACTGTGATGAGTGCCTGAGACCAACGATTTATAAGGAGGAAAGGTTCATTTAGGCTCAGATGGAAATGGCCTCAGTCCCTGGTTGCCTGTCCACATTGCTTTGAACTCCTGGAGCATTCTCCCATCTCAAGGTGTCCAGAGGGACAGTTTGCACATTGGGCCAGCCCTGGCTGCTTTGATGCCAGTTGCCATTGCTTTGTTATTTTATGTTTGCTTTTGATGCAGAAACAGGTCAAAACAGTGGCTCATCTGTTCACATTGCTCAGAGAAGGGGGGAAAGAAAACAAACAGACCACAGATGCTCAAGTACTCTATTAGCTGTCATTTTTCTTTTTTATTGGGACTTTAAACAGAACTGCCTCTGGGTACAAAAGGATGCTGGGTCTGTCAGCCTGGAAATGCCAGGCCAGGTGGACCATATGCAGATTCCTTTGAGGGGCGAGTTATTTTTTTCTTCCCAATTTTTATTCCATGTGCATGCATGTGTGTGGGGGTACACGCATTTTTTTCCATGTGCATGCATGTGTGTGGGTACACAAACCCGTGGGCATCTATACAGCAGCCAGACACTAGGTGTTTTCCTCTATTGCTCTCTGTGTCCCACCCCCATTTCATTTCACTGAACTTGAAGCTTGCTGTTTTGCTAGACTGACTCACCAGTGAGCTTCTGGGATTTGTCTGTCTTTGCTCTCCCCTGCCTCCCTAGTTACAGGCATGTGCAGTCATACCCACTTTTTTTATGTGGGTGCTGGGTATATGAACTCAGGTCTTCATACTTGTATAACAAGTGTTCTTACCCACTTAGCCATTTCCTCAGTCCTAAGGGTGACTTTGATTTAAATTCTAGGCATAGTTCTTCACAAAATCCCCTTTCTCCCAGGAAACAGCTTCTAGTGAAACTGCCTCAGGGTGAGGCATAACTGTGCTTACTGATTGTCCTATCTTCTTAGTAGTAAAAGCTTGGCAAAACTTCAAGGATGTGGGAGACATGAGAGAAATACACATGGAGAAATGGGAAGAAGCATGTTCAGAATGCCCCTTCCTGCTGGGCATCTCTGGGAGAGAGCCGTGTGGTTTTTGTATGGGGATGTTTATTGAAGGGGCAGTCCAAATTATCACTAGACACAAAGATTTCTCTGGAATTGTCAATTGTCAATTCCTCAAAATTGTCAGGCCAGTTTTTCACCTAAAAAGCTGACTGTCCATCATTAGAAATACTAAGTAATCTGAACCGGAGAAACAACTTTAAGTCAAGGTGTCTTAAGATGCAATTTGAAACCTAGGAGACAATGGAGAAATGTCAGCTCTAAGGTGTTATCCCAAAATGGCTGAGAACTTCAATGATGGGTTCCCAAAATCTGCAGTTTTACTGTTTCCCAGGTAATTTTTATGCAGAAATATGAAAACTTTGGGTTACAAAAGTATTACTACAAATATGCAATATTATCCAAATTATTGGGCTAATATGTGCGCATTTTCTCACTTGAAAATGGAGTTCACTCCTTGATCCTTGCAAAGTTACTTGAAGATTCATGAAAGTCCTTTAGTACAGTGCTTGGAAGCTGGAGTTGCTCTTTTAAAAGTATTGTTAATGGTATTCTTTTCTAACACAAACACATTTCTTTTTTTTTTTTTTTAAATATGGGATATCACTATGTAGCCTTGGCTGGCCTGGAACTCATTATATACAACAGGGTGGCCTCAGACTCACAGAGATTCACTTGTCTCTGCCTCCCAAGCGCTGGGACTAAAAATGTGAACCACCATACCCCAGCTCTAGCACATTTCTTAACATACTCTCTATAGTTTTACTTACCAAACAATAGTTCATAATCAAAAGGATTTAATCCAGGCTTTATATTAGATCTAGCATCATCAGTTTTTCTGTGCAAATTTATTCTGAATTTAGAGCATGATTCTATGCAAAGATTTCCACCCCACCCCACCCCTCTCCAAGCTTAGAGGATTGTCATTTTGGAAGTGAGGCATGGATGGGGGAAAAAAACATCTTCAGTGTTTACTAATTTCAAATGAAACATATGATTTCTTTTGTCAATGAACATATATTACAAAGCACTGTGGTGTTTGTTAATTTGTCATAAAAAATTATTACGCTTTTCAGTAATATCTAAAAAGTCACTTACATTCATCACTGAAAATATGGTGGTTTGGGCTGGAGAGATGAATCAGCAGTTAAGTGTACGTGCTACTCTTCACGGACCAGAGTTCAGTTTCCAGCGCCCATGTCAGGTGGCTCACAACGACCTACAACTCCAGCTCCAGGGGATCTGACCTCCTCTTAAAGCCTCTGAAGGCATCTGCACGTGTGCACACAGTCCCACACAGACACATACACCACATATTCAAAACTGAACTTACGGTAGTTGTTAAATCAAGTCATATTATGTAAAGCACACCACAAGTTAAAATTTTGATAACTATACTTCATTTCTCTCATAAACCTATATATTTTGCTTTATGTATTTAGAACATTTTTTTTCTAACATAAGGCCAAAGTTTTAGGCAGCCAAGTATGTTCAGATACTAAATAAGTGCAGAGTTAATGACTACTTCAGCTGCCATTTAAAGTAACAAGCCTTGTGGCTAGAGAGTTGGCTCAGCAGTTAAGAGCACTGACTGATCTTGTAGAGGACCCAGGTTCGATTCCCAGCACCTATATGGTGGCTAACAACTGTACATAATTCCAGTTCCAGGGGAATCTGACACCCTCTTCTGACCTCCACAGGCCTTGCATGACACAGATGTATTTACACGCATGTGGGGAATATACTCATATACAAAATAAAAATAATAAAACATTTTAAAGTAACAGAGCCTTTTAGATTGTCTGCTACTATGGAGGGGTTTACAAGGGCCCACAGAACAAATGAGGTGACAGGTATGACAAGTGTTTATTGGTACCGATCATGCACTTTCTAGATTCTTTATTGAGTGTGAGTACATACCACTAAACACAAGGTAAATATCGCCACTTTGTAGAACTGACATGTGCGTGTGTGTATGCATATGTGATATAGGTAGATAGTATTGCTATATATCATTACCTAACTTTGGGGGAACTTGATTATGTTATTTAAGGGGGGTCATGCAAGATCCTGAATGCCTTTATAACTTTTAAGTTCTTAAAGATGCTATCAGTAATGAGGAATAACTATCAAAGCAATTGCCCCATGAGTAAATCTTTCAGGGTAAAAGATCTCCTTGCATATTTTTAACCCAGAAATCAGCAACTCATAGACTTTTTCAAGTTTGTGTTTTGTTCTTAATTAAATCTATTTGTGTAGGAGACACTATCAGAGTCCCACCAGTGTTCTTACATCCTTCCTGGAGGCCATTTGCTAAGAGTTCCAGGAGCCTCTTGTGCCTGTTCTGAAAAACTGTACTCACGTACAGGTGAGCAGGAATTTCTGGGAGTTGATTCTCCAGGGGCAACAGTCAATCAACGAATGACAGAAGATGGTGGGTAAGCACCTCAGTACCCTCATCTCATGAGGACAATTTCAAAATGCCTCTCAGCTTTCTAATGGACTACCGTCTTTATGACATTGTGCTGTGTGGCTTTTCCTGGTTAACAAATATCTACTCACCCCAGAGAAAGTAACACTACCAGATCAAAGAGCCAATTCCTCCCAAGTATAGCTTGGGGAACCTATCTGTTTGTTGAGGTTACTTACAGGAGTTTGGGTGAGCAGTGATTGCTACCTCTCCACTGGCTACATCTGACTCTGAAAAGACCCTGAGATGGGTGGCCAATCTCTTGCTCAGTATATATATATTTATTTATTTATTTATTTATTTATTTATTTATTTATGTTCATTCATTCATTCATTATTCATTCATTTTTGTCTTTTTGAGACAGGTCCTCCCTAGAGTCCTGGCTGACATGGAGCTCACTATATAGACCAGGCTGGCCTCGATTTCATGGCGATTCATCTGCCTCTGTCTCCCAAGTGCTGAGATTAAGACATGGGCCACCAAGCCTAGCCTAAGTCTACTTTCTTTCATTTTAATGAATATCTTTTACTGAGTTTTTGTGCATTTCATACAATAAATCTTAATCATATTTAGACCCCTCCCTCCCCACCTATACCTCCTATACCCTCCCACCAGATTTCATGTATTCTGTCATTTATTTAAGGTCTGGTCAAGCTTTTGTACCCAGATGACCCTCAGTGAAAGCTCATCCACTAGAGTACAGTCAGCCTATCGAGAGTCACTCCCTTAAAGAAGATCAACTCTCTGTCACCCAGCAGCGATCAGCTGCCACTAGTTCCTTAGCCAAGGATGGAGCCTGCTGCCCATTTCCCCAGTTCTATGCTGGGTTTTTGTCTGATTGAGTTAGCATGGGTATTGTACATGCTGACACTATTGCTGTAAGTTCATATGAGCAAGTTCCCAGAGGCCTTAAAGCCTCTGTTTCTTTATGTTCATGCACCAACCCGGGACCTTACAATCTTCCTGCCCACTCTTTCGTAATGGTCCTTGGGCCATGGGTGGATGAAGTTTGATATAGAAGTCCTATCCAGGGAAGTTTCCTATTCTCCACACCTCGACCAGTTGTGACCTTCTGTGTACATCACACTGTTGCATGGGGAAGCTTTTGCTTGTGAGAGTTGAGGGATGTATTGGTATTCTCTCTACCCCTGTTTCACTATGCTCCGTGAGCCTTAGGTGTAGAGATTCCACTGTAGTAGTGTCGCTTAGAGCTAGGCATCTCACAGACACATAGTAACTGTGTGTGATCAGTTGTGGAACTCTGTAATAGATTTCATCTGCTACAAAAAGAAGCTTCTTTGGTGAGTGGTATGTGGTATA